TGCCGTCCTTGGCGTGCTGTGAACCCAAACACACGAAACAAAGGTCGTGGGAGTCTGCAGCCGCCATGGAGGAACAGCGGCATTGAGTTCTGAAAAGAGCTTTTGGGGGTGGAAAACTTCCCGGTGTGCTCATTATAGGATGACGTCGAGAACTGGAAATTGACAGCGTTATCTTCATCCTCAGTCTTCGACCCTTCTTGGCTTCTTCAGTCTAGTCCAGTCGCTGAAGAAAATGGGAGGCTGATTGAGGGGAAGCGTCCCCTCTTATTGGCTGCAGGTGTGTGCATAATTTTGTCTCAGGCTGTTCGCTGCCTAGGCACTGTCACCACCGATAAATCTATGATAATAGAGAATTTCAATGAGCATTTTGCTGCGGCTGGCCATGCTTTCCACCTGGCTACCCCCCCCCCACCCCCCACAAATCAGCTGGGCTAGACAATCTGGACCCTTTCTTTCTAAAATTAGCCGCCGAAATTGTAGCAACCGCTATTACTAGCCTGTTCAACATTTCGTATCATCTGAGATCCCCAGAGATTGAAAAGCTGCCGCGGTCATCCCCCTCTTCAAAGGGGGTGACACTCTTGATCCATCCTGCCATGCCTTTCGAAAGTATTTGAAAGCCAAGTTAACAAACAGATCACCATCCATTTCGAATTCCACCGTACCTTCTCCGCTATGCAATCTGGTTTCTCAGCCACGCTAAAGGTCCTAAACGATATTATAACCGCGATCGATAAAAGTCAGTACTGTGCAGCCGTCCTTCATCGACCTGGCCAAGGCTTTCGACTCTGTCAATCACCGCATTCTTATTGGAAGAATAAATAGCCTTGGTTTCTCAAATGACTGCCTCTCCTGGTTCACCAACTACTTCTCAGATAGAGTTCAATGTGTCAAATCGGAGTGCCTGTTGTCTGGACCTCTGGCAGTCTCTATGGGGGTGCCACAGGGTTCAATTCTTGGGCCGACTCTTTTCTCTGTGTATATCAATGATGTTGCTCTTGCTGCTGGTGACTCTCAGATCCACCTCTACGCAGACGACACCATTTTGTATACATCTGGCCCTTCATTGGACACCTCCAAACGAGCTTCAATGCCATACAACACTCCTTCCGTAGCCTCCAACTGCTCTTAAACGCTAGCAAAACTAAATGCATGCTCTTCAATCGAACGCTGCTTGCACCCGCCTGCCCGACTAGAATCACTACTCTCGGCGGCTCTGACTTAGAATATGTGGACAACTACAAATACCTAGGTGTCTGGTTAGACCGTAAACTCTCCTTCCAGACTCACATTAAGCATCTCCAATCCAAAGTTAAATCTAGAATCGGCTTCCTATTTCGCAACAAAGCCTCCTTCACTCATGCTGCCAAACATGCCCTCGTAAAACTGACTATCCTACCGATCCTTGACTTTGGCGATGTCATTTACAAAATAGCCTCCAACACTCTACTCAGCAAATTGGATGTAGTCTATCACAGTGCCATCCGTTTTGTCACCAAAGCCCCATATACTACCCACCATTGTGACCTGTGCGCTCTCGTTGGCTGGCCCTCACTACATATTCGTTGCCAAACCCACTGGCTCAAGGTCATCTATAAATCACTGGTAGGCAAATCCCTGCCTTATCTTAGCTCATTGGTCACCATAGCAACACCCACCCGTAGTATGCGCTCCAGCAGGTATATCTCACTGGTCATCCCCAAAGCCAACACCTCCTTTGGCCGCCATTCCTTCCAGTTCTCTGCTGCTAATGACTGGAACGAACTGCAAAAATCTCTGAAGCTGGAGACTTATCTCCCTCACTAACTTTAAGCATCAGTTGTCAGAGCAGCTTACCGATCACTGCACCTGTACACAGCCCATCTGTAATTAGCCCACCCAACTACCTCATCCCCATATTATTTATTTTGCTCATTTGCACCCCAGTATCTCTATTTGCACATCTATCACTCCAGTGGTAATACTACATTGTAATTATTTTGCACTATGGCCTATTTATTGCCTTACCTCCATAACTTACTACATTTGCACACACTGTATATAGATTTTCTATTGTGCTATTGACTGTATATTTTGTTTTATCCCATGTGTAACTCTGTGTTGTTTTTAATCGCACTGCTTTGCTTTATCCTGGCCAGGTCACTGTTGTAAATGAGAACTTGTTCTCAACTGGCTTACCTGGTTAAATAAAGGTAAAGTAAAATATATATATATATATTCTTTTATGACCGTATACCGACTGGGCACATGCCCGGGGGCACGGTGAATAATCTGCCGATGTGCCCTTGAGAAAGGCACTTAACCCTAATTGCTGCTGTATGTTGCTCTAGATAATACCGTGTGCTAAATGACTAAAATTTAGGTGGGGGCCCCCCAACCAAATCTCTCTAAGGGCCCCCAAAAGGCTAGACCCACCCCTGTGTCTAATTCATAATCTTAGCTATTGAAATGCAAGCAACAGGTGATGAGACCCAGTTACAGAAAGTATTACAATACCAAAACATTAAAAAATATATACGTATTTCACTCATGTCAACCGTACTAACGTGATTGTAATACAATCATCAGTACTCTTCATATTAACCTACTGGACCTCCTTACAATAAACAAAAATATGAAACAATGATTATTCACTTAATTTTAAATGATGACGTAATGGTGAATGAATCACACAGCTGCAAGTTGTCTGTGTTTACATCCCTCTCATTCCAATCACTAAAGACGGCTATAGTAGAGGGAGAGAGGTTACAAGAGAAAAAGGTGGGGGGACTAGGTGGAGGTTCAGATCTCATGGAGAGTTACCGTCCTGTAGTTTATCAACCAGCTAGTTATTAGAATCAGGTGCACTAGATTAGGGTTGGAGAATACCTACAAGATGGTAACTCTCCAGGAGAGTCCTGTATCAGATCAAGCTGGATCTTGCGTCGAGTGTGTTGATTCCATCTCGATCTGGTCATCCTCATCGTGGTACTCCAGCACTCTGGGGCCTGATTGGTGTCACACTTTTTCCCTAGCCCCAGATAACACACCAGATTAAACTAATTGCATTCCGAGGGCTAGTCCTCTAGAGAATCACCTGAAAAACATAGTGTTACATTTACTTTATTTGCAAACTGTAGCAACACTGAAACTTAAAAAAACAAACAAGCAATGCTCTCAAATCTAACCGACATGCATGTGGTCGGCAAAGAAAGCAAACAGGTACACAAACAATATTTGACGTATAGTGTGTTCAGAGTTGGATCATGTCTACATACGGTAGCCAGGGAGAGATGAGGTGGGGAATGTGATTAGTCTAGATAGAACAGTGTTTCTTAATCCTGGTCCTGGGGACCCAAAGGGGTACACATTTTTGTTTTTGCCCTAGCACTACACAGCCAATTCAAACTTACCATCAAGTGTTGATAATTTGAATCAGGTGCATAATGCCTCAAATGTCACTCTCCTACACTGGGCTCGAACCAGTGATCCTCTACTCGCAAAGACACGTGACCGTCCTCGTTGACAACGTACCAGCGGTTTGAGCCACCCAAAAGGCTCCATCTGCGACATTTCAAGCTAGATGTGGACTGAGTTTACAGCTTAACTCTGTTACACACTTTATGTGATTCCTCTCGTAACCCTTCTGCCCTCGGCACTACTCATTCATGTCGACTCTCTCTCTTGGACCATGGTACTGTAATTGTACTCCTCAGTGTTGCCTTCATTGTTCTTCAGTGAGACGAGGTGGTGGTACTGGGGGGTTGCACTCGGTCTCATTCATCCGAGGCAGGTTGGGAATGGGGTGCTTGTAGAGGGAAATAATGCATTAATAAACCTTCTAAAAAGACACTGAGGAGCTGAAGGGAGGATACTCACGTGTACATGGAGAGGAAGCCATAGGTGGAGTTGACTCCTTATGTCTCCTAGTTGAACATCTATCTCACTGGCATCCCAGCCATTAGACTAACAGAGAGATACAAGGGAATGGTGGTCAGTGTATGTCACCAGAGTGGTATATTACTCAGGCTTTTATAAAGCTAGTCAGCTTCAGTTACATTCACATTCCAGGTCAGGCTTCATCTGTACTATGATGGTGGATATTGCTTGCCTGCCTACCGCTAACTCTAGCAGGCTTGTAACTGCATGTGCATGTCGCACATGGCTAGTCGAATGCCGAACTCTTCATTGAGACAACGCTGAAACATCAATGCATGGGCGAGTCAGTGCTACATTTTCATTTGGGACGAAATCTAAATGAAAAAAAAAAGTTATCTTGCAAATTCAGCAGGCTATGGTGTGAAATAGGCTTTTTGTGTAGTGCCATCTATTATTTATCGTTAATGCCGTCTTTGGTGTGCTTATCAATGCACTAGCACCTTTTTCCCACTCCTATCACTCCTATCTGTGGAACAGCTTGTTGCATTGTGGCCATAGACATATATTCCATAGAGTTTTGAAACCTCAAATCCTGGCAATTTGACTGTTAAACTCATGGGCACACTAGCAATGGCTGCCAGCCTTGACTTGAATGGGAACTGCCATCTATGGTTTATATGTCTATGGTTGGTTGTGGCTGTCAGTTTGCCTTTTGCAAATTTCAAAATACAATGGCGCAAAAAACTGTTTGGAAAGCAAATGTATTTTAACAGTGCTACAGCACTGTGCTCCCAGTTCACCCCCAACAACCTGATCGCTGTGAATGCATCCATCCATCCACACACATAACTGTAAATCAACCATACACTAACACTATTAACAAACGTAATTAGGAATGTAGCGAGGGCTGAAGCGGGTCACCACCTCCAGAACCTTCTCAAAGCGGGCTCGTGCCTGGGGGTGTCGCATTGGAGGGAGATGTACACATTATCACACACACATAGATAGAGACAGGTTTCCAGTAGAACATATTACAATATTGAGAAAATATTGAAAAGAATGTCATTCTGTTCTTGCTTTGATTGGGGTTGTACTGTACTTTCACATTCAGGTCCTTGAGCCTTTTATCCAGACCTCGCACCTGCACTCTGTCCAAAACCCCAGCCGGGATACACGGGCCCGGGACACACTCCCCGTCTCACCACCTCGTACAGGTGCCTGTAATCTAAACCTACTCGGGCAACTTCAAATTCGGGGTGACCACGCAGACACTTGGCCGCATGGCCAAAGTGCCATGGAAGCTGTTCCGGCCAAGGACCCGTGTTAGTCCACACCATTACGCTTCTCACCTGGTAAGAGAAAAACACCCGCAGGAAATAACCAGACGGGTGTATTACCGGATGAGCCAGCTCAGTCAACAAATGAGAAACAAAAATGTAATCCAGCTTGAGGGGGAAATGTGGTACCTCCCTCCCCGATGGGACAGAGCATGCGTACCCTCGCGACATACTCTAACCTGCCACCCCACATGAACTGGAACACCAGCCACACTAGAGGCCGTCTCAGACTAGCTGGCAATGGGTAGATGTGTGCCATATACAATAGTGACGGCAACACATCCACCTTGAGGACCAGGACCTTGCCTATAAAACACAATGGCCTAGCCCTCCACATCCCCACCTTCCTCTGCACCACTGCGATGCTCCTGTTCCAGTTCAGCGTCGCTGAGCCAGAGGTCTCAAAAAGGACCCAGAGAATCTTCAGGGCCCCGCTACACCCCAGGCACATCCGTCCTCCCACTCCATCTTCTGAAATACTTAACGGATGACTTAGCGTGATTGAGGACCGCTCCCGACGCTCGGGTGAATTCCCCTATGATGGCAAGGGACCTAGTCAGGCACGAGTCCTTGCATAACAACAAGGAAGTGTCGTCTGCGTACTGGGTCATCTTAACATGCAGCCCACCGCGTCAAGGGATAAGCATGCCCTCCACCCCTGTCTCTGCCCTAATGGCAGCCCCCAGAGGCTCCATGTACAGAACGAAGAGGAGTGCCGAGAGCGGGCATCCCTGCCTGACCCCAGACTCGAGGTCAAAAACGTCACCCCCATGTGACCGTTTACGTTCACCCGGCACCCTGCTCCGAGATATAAAGCACGGATCCACCCTATATACTTCTCCCCAAAACCTAACCTGCCTAACACCCTGAAAAGAAAATAGTGACAGCACACCTATGGCCATCGATCCCCTGTCTCGAGGATGGCCTTCAAGACTTTTAGGACTACTGGCCCAAGTATACCCCAAAACTTGAGGTAAAACTCAGCCGGAAGCCCATCCATCCCGGGCAGCCTCCATTGCTTTTCTAATGTCCTCCGGCACTTGCCGGGACACTTGTTCTAAAAATACATTTCCCTGCTCTACATCTACTGCCCTCTCTTGAAAGAAACCTTGGAAATGCTCCGTGGTCACCTTGACCATTTCCTCCGTCTCTCTCGCTATTCTACCGCTTTCTAACCCCATACATTACCTTCCTACTCTGCCTTTCCCTTACTGATTTAAAGAACATGGCCGAACATGTTTCGTTGTGTTCTATAAAACCACTACGCGCCCGCATCAGGAAAGCGCGTGCCTTCCGCTCATGCACCTACCTTAGCTGCGCCTTTTAGGGCAGTGGATTTCTCCCAGTCTGCCGACCCGCCGAGGTTGCCTGCCTCGAGCTCGAGTTCTAGCTGCCTCTGGATATGATCCACCTCCCTCCTTTCCTCACTCTTTTTCTTCTTCCACTGTCCTATTATAAAAACCCTCATCCTCACCTTCACTATTTCACCACTCTAACACCCCCTCACACATGGACCGGAGGCCTTCAAGCCCCCTAAATAAAAAAGCATTGACGAAAGCCTGCCCATCCAGCACCTCCCGTTCTAACTTCCAGTACCCCCTACCGAAGAGGCAGACTGGTGCCCCCACCTGCAGGAGCACCCCATCGTGGTCCGAAAAGAACACAGGCAACAAGCGCCCAGACAACTGACCCAGAGACCTAGATAGGAAAATATAGTAGAGCATCCGCTCGAACCCCCCCCCCCCCCTGTTGGCTATGCCATCGCCGGAACAGTGTGCAGGCCCCCATCCACCAGACCATGGCTTGCCATTAGTCCGGCGACGGCTCCTGCACTACTATCCCACTCCCTCCCTATATCTACTTTGAAATCCCCCCCCCCCCCCTATCACCAAGTGTCTATTTGTAGCACACAGCGGCGCCAGGCAGTCCACCATCTCTCTCCTGCCCATCGCCAACTGTGGCCCGTACACCACAATAACCCTATACCTACTCTCCCTTATCGTGACATCCGCTCCCAGTACTCTACCCTGCATAACCACAAAAGTGCCCTCCACCTTCACCTCCCTATTCCCACACAGAATCCCCACCCCGATGATTGAAACCCCCCTATGCCCCACACAGACTCTCCCTTGTCCCACTCCCTCCTAAACCTTAAAACATCCCCACTATCCCTTAGGTGAACCTCCTGTATATAACAAACATCAAAACCCACCCCCTCTAAATACCCAAAAACCGCCCTTCTCTTAACACCCTCCCATATTCCCCTCACATTTACCGTAACAAAAATAACCCCTGCCATAATACATATTACACATCACGCAATAATATTCCCCAAAACTCAAAAACCAAAACAGGAGGCTCACCTGATGCTCCCCTGCTCCATCTCCTCCAGCGGTGCCTCCGACCCCCCTTCAGGTGTCCCCCCACTCTCCTCCATCTCCCCAGCCCAGGATGCCGGAATGGTGTTCAGCTCCCGGGTTTCCTGATCCCTGGGCTCACCACCATCCTCCTCCATCCCATCAACCCCGAAAACGGTTGGAAATAGCACCGGTGATCCAGTGTCCTCTGCCCCACCCTTCCACCCCCCAGTGGGTGCCCCCGGCAGTTGTGCATTGGGAGGGGTCAGCGCTGTGGGAGCTTCTTCCCCAACTCCCCCCTTCTCTCCCATTACTCGCTTCGCCTCCCCCTCTTCCCCCCCGCCCATCTCCCTCTTCCTATCCCCAGACCTCCCCCTCCTCTTCCCTCTCTTCTTCGTCAAAACCGGCAGCGGGGAAACCATCAAACCTGTTCCTATCCTATAACAATGGACAAAATAGTCCTATCTTGTCAGCCTTGTCAGCAGGTGGCCAAGGACAACACCCACGCCATAGGTCTCTCAGTTCTTCCAACTCACGAGTTCTTGCTCTGAGGACACACACACACACATCATCACTGATAACACACACACACACACACAAAAATCCCCTCTCTTTAGGCTGAACATTTGAAGACAGAGAACCCGACTCAGAGCCAATGCAACAGTGGAGGGGACCTCGCCCAACTCATCAGGACCAATCAGAAGATCAGAACTACTAGATTCAACCTACATCATTTATTGTATAAAATGTCTGCACACAATGTTTTCGGGGCTCTCTTCTCCCTAAGAGTTTGACGAACGAGTCCGGGCACGCGATTCCAGATATCTTTACCTCTGAATAAACTGCCTTTATTATACCATATCCACCCTGTCCAAAGTCTCTACTTGGTCTCAGTTCTCCAGTAAACTTGTGATTATCAACAGTACACAAAGGTAACAAACAATTGGGGGAACTCACGGATGACACAAGTTCAACAGAAAGCAGTTCAATGTCGGGGTACAGAGTCGCTCTCTTACCAGGATCGCGGTCCGCTCTGACCAGGGTGAAGCCGGCCGGCTCCACTTCTCTGTCCGGGACTCTGTCATCCAGCCAAGTCTCCCAGCTGTATTGGGATTCCGCTGCCAGCAGCGTTTTCATTATTTAGTCCGTTCGTAGCGGGTATGTACACGATCAACAAGATCAGTCCAAAACCAACCACTGGAAATCCATGGTTGGCAGAATGTTTGTAAACTAAGTCTACAAATTAAAAACATAAAATAACGCCACACTGCAGGTCGCAACAGAGACGCTGCTAGCCGCTATTGTCTTAGTTACGTTCATGGTTACGTCACGTATGACGAAAGCGCGTAAGTGCAAGCCCACAGACACCCATAGAGAATGTATTGAGAGCTTTGAAATTTGAAAAAAATAGATTTTACATGACAGGCTATGAGAGACTTCTGGGCGATTTTCAACCTGACTGAAATCGCCCCAAAAACGGGCGGGGCCATTTGAAGCACGACTTTAGCCTGATTTGACATTTAGTGGCAGTCAGATCAGATTACAACACTGATAACTACTGTTGCCGTGATATAATTGATTAGAAAAAAAATCCCTTCCTTTTCCCGTTTGGCAGTGCGTCGCCCATATCGCCCTATTGAACAAGCCGTCCCTGCCCCAGCTCCTCCCTCATCTCCCTCAGCTCCTCCTCCCCTTCTCTCGCTCTCTCCCTACTCCCCCCTCCGGCATCGCCCCTCTCCCCTTCTCCTCTCCTTCCAGGGCCCTGGCCGGCACCTCTCCGACCTCCTCCCGCTCCTCCGCCTCTGGCACCTCCTCTCCCACTCTCCTCTCTGTCACCGTCGCCGTTCCCGCCTCTCCTTCCTGTCCTTTTCCTTCCGTCCTCTGCCCATCCTCCTCTCTTCCCGCTGCTTTTCCCGGCGCCTCCTCTGTTGCAGCCGGACTTCCCACTGGCCCTTGGCTCGGGTCTGGAACTCCCTCTCCATTTCCTCCCCCATTCCCCTCTCCTGCACCTGCTCCCCCCCCCCCTGCAGCCGCTGCATATGACTTGTGGCGAGCCGTGCAGTCCCTCCACAGATGTGTTGCTGATCCACACCCGTGGCATTTCTTTGGCTCACCACAGTCTTTCGCCTCGTGCGCCCCTGACCCACACACCCTGCACTTCCTCCCCCACATGAGGCGAAAATATGTCCATACGTCATGCAGCGTCTGCAGAACGGAGGCTGACGGGCATAAAATAATGTCCCCCCATCAGCCCCCAGGGAAAACAGTGCAGGTGGATGAAGGTACCCCCCCAGGCCCCCTGGGTCTTCCTTCAATAAGGCCTGGAAACGCCTCCTCCCGTTCCAGAACCCGAGCATGTCCTTGAGGAGCCTTGCTGAGGAGACATTGTCCATGTACCTCCCCAGAAAGGCCCTCACCTCCTCTTCCTTCACATGCGGGTTAAACATGTTAACCGTCACCACTCTGAAACTGTTCCTCGCCAGGCTCGCCACTTCATAGTGGCACATGGGTCTAGCCTTCTCCACCACCTTCACCCTTCCCATGACCTCGTCATGCTTCCCCTCTGTGTGTAGCACGACATCATATGCCCCTTCCAGGGGATTCGCCTGGAGGCACAACACGTCCTTTACCTCCAGCTTCAGGATGTGTATGGTCCTCCCGAACGTCTCCCTTACAAAGGGCTCCATCTCCTTTTCCTTCCATGCGAACATTATCGCATTAGCAATCCCCATCCTGGGAATCGCCTTGTAGTTTTTTGAATCCGCCATCTCTGTAAGGAGAAAAGCGTTTGCACCTCTGCCCCGACTCTCTTATTTGCAAATTGGCAAGTTCCAAAAATTGTATTTTGCTTGGTTCTGGCCCTGTCGCTTCTTTGACAGTCGGGAGTATAGCCTCAATGCCTATGTGAAGTTTATAAAGCCGGCAGTGGTGTCTGCTGATTGGACACCATCTCCCCACCACCCCGTTGGCCATTGGACGGGAGGCAATGTAGTACATGGAAATCAAAGTGCTTTTATGGAAAGAGGTTGGTGTCTCCTAAAATAGCCTAGTCTCTTAAAATAGCCTGGTATATAAGATGTGATTTTTTTGTAGTCCAATGTGGAGCTTGTAACACCGTGGAACCGGGTTCGGTTCCCGGGGCCGCCCACGTAAAATGTAAGTGCGCGTGACTGGAAAGCGGCTGCTAAATGTTATAGTAATTACATTATTATGGTTGGGTCGGTATATATGATGTGTTTTTTTGTTGTTGTTTTCACGTAGTCCTATGTGGCTCAGTGGGGTAGAGCATTGCATTTGTAACGCCATGGTAGTGGGTTCGGACCCCGAAGCCGCCCACATGTAAAATGTATGCAAGCATGACGGTAAGTACAGCGTCTGTTAAATGGCATAGTGTTTTTTTTCTTATTATGATGGGGTTGTTGGTTTGGTTAATAGTGATGGGGTGGTGGAAAGAGGTGGGTGAGAGGATACTGGTGTGAGTATGGCGTGATGCAAATATTGTATTGAAATGGAATGATTTATGATGTATGGTTTTTGTACGTTTTTAATAAAAACCCTTAAATCTGAAGGAGCCTGAGGCACCGGTGCCTTTGGTGACGAGGCTCTTGACTGCGAGCTTGACGCGGGAATTGTTCTTCTCCACGTCGTAGCTGCCTGCCGCCAGAGTATTCTTGAGCGCGGCCAGGGACACGCCGCTCCTCTCCTTGGAGGCGGACACAGCCTTGACGATGAGCTCGCCTACGCTGGGTCCCGCTTTCTTGGGCTTGGCTGCTGCCTTCTTCTTGGGTGCCTTGGCCGGCGCGGCATCGGCAGTGCTGGTGCGACTTCTGCCATGTCTGTCATTTGGTTCGGTACACACACACATCCAACACTACAGTCTGCGAGGAGTAGTTTGCTGTAGACGCTGCTCTGCGCTATTGAAGCTCCACACCGAGCAGGGGGCTGGCCTTAAACGCGACATGAGAACCATGTAGACTCAAGCCACCCAGCTCGGCTTCTCTGGGCTGGCCAAATGCTCTTTCACTTGTATTTTCTGTTCGCCAATATCGGGCCAAAAGTCACCAACGGAGCCGTGTTTTTGGTCCAAAAGCGAATGGGCCAGCGAGCAGACTTGTCTCCGTTCAAAAGAAAGTAATGTGGGCTGCGGAGGCCCCGTGCATTTTGTTGCGACTCGCTCAAAACCTCACCGTTGGACTGTTGGGTTTTCCTGTGCTATTTGTCTCCTAAATGGGCTAAAAGTGCATCCGATTGCGAGCAGCACTTGTTGTGTAGTGAGCCAAGATGTCTGGCAAGGGAATCAAATGGTTTGGGGTCCCCTGATGTGGTCCAGGATGTTTTAAAGAAGAGCTCTTTTGGGGACCTTAAAACACATGCACCTGTGAGGCCTGGCTGAGACTAGTGTTGTACTTCAAGTTTCAAGTTGTATTCGTCGTATGTACAGGATCCACATGGTATACACTGTCCAACAACATGCTTACTTGCTCTGTGTGTGTGTTATTGTATTAGTACTTTTTGTGCACTTGCAGTGTGTGAGTTGTTGTATTTGTAGCCTACTATTTCTACACAGTTAGATTGTCTTTTTTTCTGTTAGGTAGGTAGGTTTGCTGTCTCTACTAATATATTCTTCAACTGCTTTGTGTCTGTGGGTCTTGGTGGCTGGCTGCCGCTATGGAGGCTGGCGCCCCATGGGCTTGGGCGCGTTGATATAGGCCTAGATAGAGGGAGGGAGGGAGGCAGTCTCTCTCTCTCCACTCTCTCCTCTAGCTAGTGCATGCGAGTGAGTGAGTGGGACAAGGGCCGCATATGTGGTTGGACCGGGAGAAGAATCCCAGCAGGTGCATGTGGTTCAGAAGGCTGATTGCCGCCTCTTTTCTTTTCCCTGTTGTATAGGCTATCCCCAAGGTAGTCATTGGAATCCACTACTGCGCCAACGACTATCACAAGGCCCACTCACTCACTATGTTATACTGTGACTTGGCCTGCAGACACATTCATATCCCCACTTTGTCTCATGGAAGCCACTGCCTTTTATCCTGCTGCCTCGTGAGAGGGTGAGCCATCCTGCTGCCTAGCTTGTTGCTACCTGGATAGCTAACTAAACAATAGCTGGAACGACCTAGCTGTAATATTTGGAGACGCTTTCTCTCCGTTGGGACAGACGCGAACTGGCTGAATCGATTCAGTGGCTAGCTTTGCACTTAACTGGCTAACAGTAGCTACTAAGGGTAAGTTATAACCTACATTTATTTTGTTTTTACATACTGGTAACCAGAGTCGTTCAAGGGAATTCGGGACATGGGTGACTAGTTAACTTTAGCTTGGATCTCTCTGTGTGTTTCGTGCCATGGGAGGAGGGGTTGGTTCATTGGCAGAGAGCAATGGCTAGCTAGTATGCTAACTATTCTAGCTAACTGGCTGAATAAGTTGACGACGTACTCACTCAAACTGTCAAAACTAACCCAAGACTTTACACAACGTTAGACACGGACACGAATGATCTGTTTGGCGTGTTAACACAGTGGTGGTTTGTTGTAACCGAGTATTGGGCCTAAACCATGCTAGTTGGCTATGGCGTCATTGGATTCGGTGCCCTGGACGGTTTTCACGGAAGAATACTGTACCAAGTTAGCTAGCTGAATAAACTAAGTTAGTCTATTCCTAGAAAACAATGAACCGCTGTAGTTTACAACAATTATAATTTCTAAAGTGGAAGTTGGGAGAGTTATATTTGAGTGTTTCAGTGAAACGTAACTGAGGGAGGCCCCGCTTTCTCGTTTTCCCAGATGTTTAGTTCATTTCATTCCGATCTCCTTTGCATTATTGTAGCCTTTTTCTGTAGCCTGTCAACTATGTGTCTGTCTATCCCTGTTCTCTCCTCTCTGCACAGGCCATACAAACGCTTCACACCGCGTGGCTGCTACCACTCTAATCTGGTGGTCCCTGCGAGCACGACCCACGTGGAGTTTCAGGTCTCTGGCAGCCTCTGGAACTGCCGTTCTGCGGCCAACAAGGCAGAGTTAATCTCAGCCTATGCTACCCTCCAGTCCCTCGACTTCTTGGCGCTGACGGAAACATGGATTACCACAGAAAACACTGCTACTCCTACTGCTCTTTCCTCGTCTGACCATGTGTTCTGGTTAGCGCGGCGATGGCACAGGAATCCTCATCTCTCCCAAGTGGACATTCTCTATTTTTCCCCTGACCCATCTGTCTATCTCCTCATTTGAATTCCATGCTGTCACAGTCACTAGCCCATTCAAGCTTAACATCCTTGTCATTTATCGCCCTCCAGGTTCCCTTGGAGAGTTCATCAATGAGCTTGACACCTTGATAAGTTCCTTTCCTGAGGATGGCTCACCCCTCACAGTTCTGGGTGACTTTAACCTCCCTATGTCTGCCTTTGACTCATTTATCTCTGCCTCCTTCTTTCCACTCCTTTCCTCTTTTGACCTCACCCTCTCACCGTACCCCCCTACTCACAAGGCAGGCAATACGCTTGACCTCATCTTTACTAGATGCTGTTCTTCTAATCTCACTGCAACTCCCCTCCAAGTCTCAGACCACTACTTTGTATCCTTTTCTCTCTCGCTCTCCTCCAACACTACTCACTCTGCCCCTACTCAGATGGTAATGTGCCGTGGCAACCTTCGCTCTCTCTCTCTCCCGCTACTCTCTCCTCTTCCATCCTATCATCTCTTCCCTCTGCTAAATCCTTCTCCCTCCGATCTCCTGATTCTGCCTCCTCTCCTCCCTTTCTGTCACGATCGTCATATGGAACAGACCAAGGCGCAGCGTGATGAACAAACATACTTTAATTAGTTAAAGTTTAAACACAATACAAAACAAGAAACGACTCGTGACGTCCAACGGTATCAATGACAGAACACGGAACAAAAACCCACAAACACAAAGGGAAAACATACAGTTTAAATATGGCTCCCAATCAGAGACAACCAGCACACAGCTGACACTCGTTGCCTCTGATTGGGAGTCACTCAGGCAAAACGAAGAAATCAACAAACTAGAACCCCCAACATAGAAATAAACCACATAGAATGAACACACCCTGGCTCAACATAAAGAGTCCCAGAGCCAGGGTGTGACACTTTCTGCATCTTTTGACTCTCTGTTCCCTCTCCTCCCGGCCGGCTCGGTCCTCCCCTCCTGCTCTGTGGCTTGACGACTCATTGTGAGCTCACAGAAGAGGGCTCCGGGCAGCCGAGCGGAAATGGAGGAAAACTAGACTCCCTGCGGACCTGTCATCTTTTCACTCCCTCCTCTCTACATTATTTATCCTCTGTTTCCGCTGCTAAAGCCACTTTCTACCACTCTAAATTTCAAGCCTCTGTCTCTAACCCTAGGAAGCTCTTTGCCACCACCTCCTCCCTGCTGAATCCTCCTCCTCCTCCCCCTCCCTCCTCCCTCTCTGTGGATGACTTTGTCAACCATTTTGAAAAGAAGGTTGACGACATCCGATCCTCTTTTATTAAGTAAAATGACACCGCTGGTCCTGCTCACACTGCCCTACCCTATGCTTTGACTTCTTTCTCCCCTCTCTCTCCAGGTGAAAACTTGTGACGGCCGGCCGACCAACAACCTGCCCACTTGACCCTATCCCCTCCTCTCTTCTCCAGACCATTTCCGGAGACATTCTCCCTTACCTCACCTCACTCATCAACTCATCCTTGACCGCTGGCCATGTCCCTTCCGTCTTCAAGAGAGCGAGAGTTGC